GATGTCATACCCAGCTAATGGATTGAGTTCCATGAATTAGTTGACAAAGAGCAGTATTTTATTTTTTTTTTTGACTGCATGGCAAATGCATTTCTTCAGATAACTGTCTCTGGTTTCCATGGCGATCTTACTTCTGCTTGTTAAAGGTATTTTTATGACTTTTTCACATTATTTGAAGTACTGCTAAAAGCTAGTACTTCAGGACTATCTCAGCTGCTGATGCCTGCATTTGGCAGCGAAATTCAAGGAGTACAAATTGGAACAGGAGCAAAAGTAATTTTTGCTGCTCTGAATGAGACTAATGTACTCTGATAACATTTCGTGGTCAGAAAATGTTACTGTTTGCAGATTCAGTGAACTTGAACCACAGTAAAGGCTAGAAGGACTTTGGGGCAGCATGCTATGGTGAACCACTGTATTTACTTTCTCAGTGTACTGTGCAACTTAATGTACGATGTAGTTGCTTATCTGTGATGTTTTTCAATTAAAAAAAAGTAGAGAATGACTGGAAACAATCATCTTTTCAATCTCATACAATAGAGTTGGTATATACTACATGGAGATTTATTGAATGTTGATAGTTATGATCACTAATAACAAGATAAAATTAACTCTGACTTGGCAGGTGGTTACCTTTAATATTTCACATTTCTTTTTTACTTGGACAATTGGTCAAAGGCACAGACAAGCTACTTACAGGGAGCAGCTGAGGACACTTGGTCAGCTTGGAGGAGAGAAGGCAGAGGGTGACCCCATTTCAGTCTGCACCTTCCTCAAGGAGGGGTAGCAGAATGGGAGGTGGTGATTTCCTCTCTCTGGTGGCCAGAAATGGGAACACAAGGAAATGGAATCAAGCTGGAATCAATCAGGGGAAGCTCAGATGAGGCATTAGGAAGAGGTTCTTCACTGAGAGGGTGATTGGTCACTGGAACAGGCTCCCCAGAGATGTGGTTGCAGCACCAACCCTGACAGGGTTCAGTGAGTTTTCTGCATGATGCTCTTAGTTACAGGGTTTAGTTGTAGGTAGTCCTGAGAGAGTCAATGAACCTCACTGGGCCCCTTCCAACTTCAGCTATTCTATTCTAAGCATGATTCTTCTGTCCTGCTCAGTCAGTCTGTGTACTGAGAAGGTTGTCCAATAATGTCAGGTGTCATAAGGGTTTTATATAGACACGGCTCACTCTCTGGGAGGACCAAAGATGTGCTTTTCCTTTTTATATTAAAAACACTTCATCTTTCTGCATTAGTGGTGGAACTTGGCAATATGGGATATGCTTTGTGACATGTGATTGTTTATCTCATGTTCCTGACAGTATTGACTTATAGAAAATTGCAAGATGCTGCATTTTCCAGCTGTTTGTTCATTCCCATTTTTCTTGGATGCCTCTCAGCTAACCAGTACAAACCCCATGGGAAGTTTGGGTTCAAGGTTATGTTGGTTTAGACCAGTTATCCAGCAGAAACTCTTCTGAAACTAATCTATGGTAGAAAATGACAGCTTTGCCCACTGTGAGGATGTGCAACGCTCCAGTACACTTGTAACCTAAGGAGAATAAATTTTTCCCAGGTTCATCAGTGAATGACTAATACTTGGAGAGGGAAAAGAGCCTCTAGACTTTGTGAAAAGATTCAGAGCACAATTGGTATTCAGAGCACAATTGTTTATTGAATTGCCTTGTTGCCTGGAGCAGTGTTATCCTCCTCCTTTGCTGGGGAAAACTGAGGAACAATGAAATGGGAAATGTTTGTAGTTTTGTTCCGAAGCTTCTTATATTTAATGCCATGCAAAGTTTCTGGTATAATTTTTCCTCTGCTTTGGGATGTATGAAGGGAAAGACTTGATTTGAAGGCATCAGCACAAAGATCTACCAGTCCATAGTAAAGCTGATCTGGTTCATTAGAGCAGTTTATTAATAGATAAATCATAGTTGCAAATGAAAAAATAATGTTTCCCTGAGGCATATTCCATTATTCCATAATTTTCCAGTGTCCCAAGTGGACACTTCTGTCTGCTTATCCTTTTTTGCCTTTCAGGCTCTGATTTTATTTTATCTGCTTAAAGAGTTGTTTTTGAACCAGTACTTTTTTATACTTCATTCTTCCCATTTAGGATCAGTCAGAACAGAGCTAATTTCATTTCCTTGTGACTCTCTGATATATAAATGACAATTTGACATAATTTACAGAAGTAATTCAACAACTGATAATATGGAGTCTTGCATGAAGCTCCTCTGCAGGACCCTGAAGGGAAGCTTAGTAGTTCTCTAGAGGCTTCTGAAGTATTAATGAAAACACTTCTGATTTCTTTTAGTTTTCCATTCTTCATTTATATTAATTCTAATGAAGGTGAAACTTGCTTGGGAATTAGTGTTATAAAATCAATGCAACTGAAACTAGATGAAAGATCTAAATTAATTTTAAACAAACAAACAAAAACACACAAAAGAGCCTGTTTTCTCCCCTCTCCAGGGCATTGTAAAAATATATTATTACTGTTAGAAGTATTTTCTAATAGCTGGAGAGTTGGAGATATTTTTGAAAGCAAGTGGTTTGATTGACTGAGTATCTCTTAGCAACTTAGAAGGCTTCAAATACAACTGATTGAATACTGCCTGAGGAATACATTGTTGGGCCCAAAGCACCTGCCAAAAACCAGGTGATGATTCCTTTCTTCAAAATACATTAGATATTAGAGATGTAACTCAATATTTTGTCAGTATCAAAAGGAATTTGCATAAGACACATGACACAATATATAGAAAATTGAATCCCAAATGACATTCAGGTACTGCAGACTGAAATAGGAGGTGTGTGAGATAGATTTTAAAGTTAATATTGGATGCTTCCGTTGAAACAGTGCTGTTTTATCAAGAAGCAGAAGTAGACTTTTTGCTAATTATTGGCACTTGCCACTTGGTACAGACATTGGCCATGTGAACAAGAATATGGTCTTGCTGGTATTTTACATGGACAGCCATTGGAATACTCTACTTGGCATGTAAAAGCTTTGGGGGTTTTTACTGATTGGAGGAGAAATCAAGGCAAAGAATGATAAAGTCAGCAGAGGGAAGTGTTGGGGGACTGCAGCTGCTTTTTCATATCTCAATCAGCAGCTTAAGATGCTGTTTTCTCTCATTATGTCTATTTGTAGGTAACCTACAAAAACGCTAACAAATCTGCCACATAAATCAATTACACTTCAACTCAAAAGAACTTCTGGTAAGTGTCAACAATACAGAGTATCCACAATGTGGCTGTTGATATGGTCTGCAGTAAGAACAGTTTAACTTTGCTTGGAGTTGGGAAGCTAAACTCCACTTTGAACACTGTCCAGCTGCAGAGAATAAATGGAGTTGTCTTGTCAAACAGTATTTGTATGCTGGTAGCTATGCTTTGACTGATCTAGTGGTACTGCACAGTACAGCTTTGGGAGAAATAAAATAAAGGAGAAAAAGAATGTCTGTGAGGTCAGGGCAGGAAAGCTGTGACCAGGTTACATGATGTGTTACATGATGCTGTTACATGATGTTACATGAGTGTGCCCCACTCAGCTGTGCTAGCAGAGATAGTTGGGTTGTTAAGCCTGGAGAAGAAAAGGCTCCAGGGAGACCTCTGCAGCCTTCCAGTACTTAAAGGGGGCTACAAGAGAGCTGGCTGGAAAGGGATTTTTTACAAGGCCATGTAGTGATAGGACATGGGGAAATGGCTTTAAGCTGAGAGAGGGCAGGTTTAGATTAGATATTAGTAAGAAATTCTTTACTATGAGGGTGGTGAGGCACTGGAACAGGTTTGCCCGCAGACATTGTGGATACCTCATCCCTGGATGTGTTCAAGGCCAGGTTGAATAGGACTTTGAGCAGCCTGGTCTAGTGGAAGTTGTCCCTGCCCATGGCAGCAGGGTTGGAACAAGATGATCTTTCAGGTCCCTTTCAACCCGAACTATTCTATGATTCTGTGATCTTTTAAAGACAGATTTTTAAAGGAGAGAGAAAATCCTGTGAATTTTATGGTATCTTGATATGCATTAGAAAGGGGCCCATGCTATAAGAAGAGATCACTTAATTTACTCTTGTGCTGTTGCTGTGTAAGGTAGAATCATATGGAAATTTATGATGGAGAACTTGTGTCTGTCATATGATATTTCTTTCTGAGATTTGGATGGAATGCAATGATAAGGGAAAAATACTGTCATGGCTAATCCTGTTTTGTTTTTTTTTCCTGTACTTCAGCTTCACTGCTATCCATCCACTCTATTAGAAACAAATGTGTAGAGCTTGAATATCTGAATCAGCAGGTTGCATTCTGTGTGTACTTCTGTGAAGTCATGTGCAGCAAGTCTTTTTTTTCTGTTCTGCTTGTCCTATTTGTTTTGTTATTATGTACATAGAGAATGTCTTGGGGGAGGGGGGGAAGGTAGATTTCTTCTGGATGACTTTACACAGGCCTGTCTGTGCCATTGAAGTGGTTAATGAAAAGAAAAAAAAAGTAAGCTGCTGTAATCCATTTACAAACTACGTACTTATATTTTAATTGTATCTGTATTTATGTAGTGTAAATTTGTAATAATGTAAATTTTTATCTTAAAAAAATAATTCTGTACTATTTATTAAAATATGAACACTTTAGCCAGTTTCTGTATTTGAATAGTCAGGATAGACCATTTAATACAGGAATCAACATAAGTATCTAAAAATATGTTTTTGATAGTTTTCTTAGGCATTTGCCTCTGAAATCCCCTAATTCATTTATTACCAGAAGCTGAGAGGGGATAGCTGGAGTGTAATCTGTTTTCAGCCTTCTGATTCATGAAGCCACTAGCCCTTACTGACTTCCTAATTTGAGCAGCATCATGATCCAAATCAGTGATACCTGGCAAACTCCAAACAATTATTCTCATTTGCAGTACTAGGGAACATTCAAATCTGTTAAGATTATTGTTATTGGGGCCTGGGGTTAGTTGTTTGTTTTCCTATTTTTATGTTTCCCGTCTCTACTCACAGGTAACATCATGGTGCTGTGGTCAACTTGCAGAACATCGTTACTGAAATCGGTAACAAACCGGTTCATTAAGAATTTGGCCTGCTCGGGGATCTGTGCCAGCCTGGTCTGTGTGCCTTTTGACATTGCTCTTAGTGCCAGTCCACACTGCTGCTGGTGGATCTATACAATGCTCTTCTGCAGAATTGCCAAGTTTCTGCACAAAGTCTTCTGCTCAGTGACCATCCTTAGTTTTCCAGCCATTGCTCTTGACAGGTAATGGGGAAAATTTGCCATGATCCTGGATTTTTCTTTCTTCTTTCTCCCCTTGTCTTGGTAAATGTGGTATCACTATCTGTAATGCACACCAATATTGCAAATGGAACAGCGTATCAGTTCAAAACTTGTGATCTGCTGCAGAAAAACCACAAATTCCTACTGCTTATATTGATAAGTGTGAAAAGTTAGGTCTGTCATGAAAACTGTGTGAGCTTAAAAGTCCAGAGGAGTACTCCAGTAGTAAGCAAACAATCAACGTCTGAAATTTGAAGTGCATGTCAGAGATGCACTTTTTTTTTAAAATGCACACAGAATGTTCAGTGTTCAGCAGTGCCTTTGCTCAGGGCTTGCCAACCACAGCTTGTACAAAAAAAACGATCATTGTACTTCCAACAGTTGTAATGTAATAACATGTAATTTGTGACCAACATCTTTTTCCAAATATCCAGAAAAAAAATCTGGATTTTGTTATAAAAGTTGTTATAAAGCAACTTCTAAAACTATGACTCTGGCTATTGAATGTGACACATGCCTTCATAATGCCTTTTGAAATTTTGAGTGTGTGCAATGTTCTGTCTAGTTTACAAGCGAGTTAATGGTGAAATCTTCAAAACAATATTCATATGCATCAGCCAAAGTGATGTTTCGAAAGAAATTTTCACCACAAAAAATGTGGTCTTGATATTACAGACAGACCTGCAAAGGCAGACCTTTGGTTTGTTTTTTTTTCTTTTTTTTCTTTTCTTTTCCCTTGCATAAACAGGTAGTCAGTTGGCAACCCAGTTAGGAATTTAGAGCGTTATGCTCAGATGGCTCCTGAGAGGTTTCTTTCTCATAAGCAGTATGGCCATGAAAATAATTAATTTCTTTTTTTTTTCTTTTCTTTTTTTTTTTTTTGACAGATACTACTCTGTTTTATATCCTCTGGAAAGAAAAATATCTGATGCAAAATCCCGAGACCTGGTTATCTATATCTGGGCCCATGCAATAGTGGCCAGCATTCCAGTATTTGCTGTGACCAATGTGTCTGATATTTATGCCATGTCCACTTGCTCTGAATCTTGGAGTTACTCCCTTGGCCACCTGATATATGTTATCATCTACAATATCACCACTGTGATTGTACCAGTGGCTGTGGTATTTCTCTTTATGATTCTTATTCGCAGAGCACTGAGTGCCAGCCAGAAGAAAAAAGTCATCATAGCTGCACTAAGGACCCCTCAGAATACAGTTTCTATCCCTTATGCCTCCCAGCGGGAAGCTGAGCTCCACGTCATGCTGCTTTCTATGGTTATGGTATTTATCTTCTGCAGTGTGCCCTACGTGACTCTGGTGATTTACCGCACCATACTCAATATTTCAGATATTTCAGTCTTCTTGCTCCTCACTGCTATTTGGTTGCCCAAAGTCTCTTTGCTGGCCAACCCTTTGTTATTTTTAACTGTTAACAAATCGGTACGGAAGTGCTTGGTGGGGACAATAGTGCAGCTGCACCGAAGGTTCAGCAGGAGAAACATTGTCAGCTCGGGTGGCATTGCAGATGATAATCGGGAGCCCAGTGTCCATTCAGGAAGCCAGCTTCTGGAGATGTTTCACATTGGGCAACAACAAATCTTCAAGCCTATGGAAGATGAGGAGAATGAGACCAAATCCATTGGCTCTAGTGACTTTCAACGGAAAGAAATTCCTAGCACCAGTTTAGAGCTAGGACAGACTTCAGTTCACAGGTTTATACCACAGACAATTGCAGACTCTGCAGGTCAGGTGGCCCCAGCTGTGCCCACAGAGGCTGATACAGTAAATGACAAGTATTCCATGCAGTTTGGTTTTGGACCCTTTGAGCTGCCTCCACAGTGGCTCTCAGAAAACCGAAACAATAAGAAGCGACTCCTGCCTCCTTTGGGGAATACCCCTGAGGAGCTAATCCAGACAAAACAGCCTAAGTGTAAAGCAGAAAGAAAAGTCAGCAGAAACAATAAAGTCAGTATCTTTCCCAAGGTGGATTCTTAGTAAGAGCAGGAGCTTTAAGTGACAGAGGAAGGTCACTTTCTATTACATTTTTGATCCCATGGATCTTTATTATGTTGAAATTTGTTACAACCTGATTTTTTTTTGCCAAATATAAGTTAAATGAACAAACAAAAGAAAAACATATATACAAGTGTTCCTTATTAATATGAAATACTTAATGAAAATAATTTATCAAATATATATGAAAATTTGTAGTTTGATCTCTGAAATCCCTACAATGATACCTTGTTATTAACTTTCAAAAGTACATATGAATTTGGGAACTATTTTTATGGCTGAATAATGGAAATACAGCAGTTGGTTTTATGGGAAACGTTACATTGTATTAAAATGGACTGGGCATTAAAGTAACTTAACAGGAATGGCTGTAGAGAGCAGAAGATGTGCAGCATGGTAAGTCCTACTCTCCCACAAACAGACACAGCAAGATTCTGCACATTGCATTAATGAAGTAGGATGGACTATTATGTGCATTTGTTTTCTGTTATGTGCATTTATTTGATCAGTGTTAAAACTTGCTGGATTTTTTTGCACAAATTAGTTACCAAGCATCTGCCAAACATCTAAAATATTTTGAAACCTAATCCACTGGTTTTTGGCTTAAAACATCCACAAAGCCAAGAATACCCAAATCATCATGTGTGTTAAACCCAAGAAAGACCTCTTTTTATAAAGATCCCACATATATTCTTGTAGATTTAAGTAAAAAATGGATTGGAGACTATACAGGACAAATTCTGACTCCAATAAACAAATATGTATGTGCTAAGAATCCTGTGATAAAGGGCATATACAAAATGTCCTTAAAGTGTAATGTATGTATTAAGTAACTACGGGGTAAGCCTTGAAATAAACTTAGCTGCTGGTGCACTCTGCTGTTTTCTTATGGAAAAGCAAGCAAATGAAAGAAATGGATGTGAAATGCTAGTGGCCTTTCTCTGAGTATGACAGTCTCGATTTCTGAGTCTGTCTCACTCTCATACAGAGAGAGAGAGAGACTCACAGAGAGGGATTCTGAGTGTTGCAGTGACAGCAGAACTGTTGGGTGAAGAAGCTGGCAACAGACCTAAAAAGGCAAAGTTTAATTGGTGCTGTTGCTCAATATTGCCAGAGGTAGAGAAGTTTTCCTTCTATCTTCACAGATACAGATATCAACCCTCCAGCTCCACTCATCTTGCAGAGCAGACCATCCAGTGTATGAACACAAGACTTTCAAATCTGGTGCCTAATTCCTGAGTGAGTCAGTCATGCCAACCCTGCTATCAGCTCAGCAGCCTTTCTCTGAGAGTTCAGGTGTTGTGCTGCAACTTGTCGCTCTGCATAATCACAGGCACACTGTCTCATTTATACTGAATGTGAACTTTAAACTCTAGCTGGATGTTAGGTGACCTAAAACTATTGCAACCCTGACATTTTAGCTCTTGTTGAGTTTCAAGCAGTCTTTCATCTGCACTCACTGTTGTCTCTGTGGGTAGTTTCTTAAAAGCACAATCTTTGTAACACCTGTTTGTTCCTTGTGGTTTTCCTGTACTTCACTTTGCTGCATGCTGAACCTTTATCTGTGATTACTGTCTGTTTGTGAAAGTAGTTTTCTTTAAAGCATACTTTAAAAGGGACAAGGTGAAGAATCTTGTCAAGTTCAAAGAAACTTACTAAATCCAACCAGTTAATCTTAAAAGTAAGAAGAAATTCTGCTAAAGCAGAATGTACCTTTTCTTCCTTCAACATTATTGAAGGAAGTCACCAGCTTCTGATGGTTCCAAGGTTGTGGATTTCTACAAGTCAAAAGCATATGTTTTAATAAAAATGTATTTAAAGTGTATAAATTACTGAGTAAAATATGTTTTTCTCCATTTCCTCTTTGGTTTCAGTGCATTTCATTTCTTGCTAGTTCAAGAGCTTCTCAGTTTGGGAGTGAGGAACAGTCTTCAAGGGGTCCACATGGGTGGTGGAAGCCTGAGCTGCCCTTCTTACATACAGAGATGAAAAGACAGACATAGCTTGCCTGAAATCAGAAAAAATTGTTTCTTCTGTGGCAGAGGTAGAGAAGTACTACAGCATGCATTTTTAAAAAGTGCCAATAAAAAGTAATTTAATGGAGTGTTTGTTTTTCCAAAATTAGTGAAAGAACAGATGCCATTGAGAAAATCTTGAAAACCTAAGAATCAAAGTAGGAGTTGTAGTTTCCTTAAGAATTTTGACTAAGTTTAACAATCACGTCTCACATATAGGTACTGCTCAAAATCTCTGTGATTTCTGAATGTGGATAAATGTTTACTCAGATCTGAACTCCTTTCAAGAAAGCAAACCTGCTTTTGTCCTTTTCAACTGTCATGTTGTACAAAACACCAAAGTTACATTTAAAGAGTTAAATTGTCTATAATTTCATGTTATATCTGGAAAGCAAAGGGTTTGTGATGGGTTTTTACTGTTGAGACAAAAATCTTTCTTTCAAAAAGAATACATGTAAACACTTGATTGTACTTTTTTATCAGATTATATCCAAAGACATTGAAATCCTTCACAAAGAAATTAACTACAGTGGTTTTTCATACCTCAGGAATTACTTGAGAATGTTTTTAGTTCATCTTTCAGCAATTCATCCATGTGGAAAAAATACACAAAGCACATCTTGTTATAGAAAGAAAACCCAACCTGTGTAAAAACCAACCTGTTTAATTTGTGTAAAATTCACAGACCAGCCTCTATGCTAGAATTGCCATCAGAAAACAGTAATTCAGGAAATAATTTATGCAAGATGGAATATTTGACTTGTTTCATTTTTAACTCCATTTAAGACTGTAGTACCTTTGAGTCATTACTGTTGTTGCTTGGATTGTTGCTCAAATTGTTCACCTGGGCAAAATGTTTTCCAGTGTCCAACCTGAAGAAAAAATCAACAAACAAGTCTTGTTATAACATCACACTAAAGTGACACAGAACTGAGTTACGGGGATTTTTTTGGTCTTTTTTACATAATCACTTTTTCCTTTGCAAGATAGGAGTCTGTTTATTGCCATATCCTTTAGAGGAATTAATACAGTGAATATTAGCTGTGCTTCTCCTAACCTGAGTACTGGAACTGTTACAGTCTGCCTTAGAAATATTGCCTATGGTGAGTAAAAGGTACTTCAGGCGAGTACACAGAAAGATATGAAAAATAATCTAAGGCACATAACTAATGAGCATTAAAAAAATACTAGTTTTTTTTCCTCCAGCATGTATGAGACAATGAAATAAAAGTGTTTTGGCTACCTATTTGTGTATTAAAAGGCTTTTCAGAAGAGGAGTATGAAGGTAAGCAATAGTAATTGGGAACAAGTTCCCTCTATGTCCCTGTTGCTTGTATTTCTTTTTGATTGGATCAGGAAGAAAAGGATAAATAAATTCTGTTACTATGACAACTGTGTTCTGAGTATCAAGACAGCGTGTCTAAATGTGATTTCATCATGTTATAACCTATTTTGAGGATGAAAAGGACATCTTGGAGTGTTTTTCTATCCAGAGATGGATGTCTCCTTTCAAAGGCTCTTGTGAGGCTGTAGGCAGTTCATAATAGGAAAATTGATAAGACAAACTCTGTCAGCTGTTCAGCATACGCGTTGTACTGTAGGAAAAAAAAAAAATTGGCCAGTTACACCCAGGTCCTTGACATACCTCGTTATGCATAGCTAATGTAATTCCTAATACCCTCATATTTTGATATAGCCAGTGTGGAATGATACTGTCCATTCTACTGCTGCACCACAGGTTCCAAACACCACTATGGTATTGCTTTAGCAGTCAGAAGATGTTAAAATTTTAACATAGCAGAGCTCAGCATGCTTGGGGAGGAGGCAAAACCACACAGGGTCCCCTAGAGCATTTTCTGTTTATCTGCAGTTCTTAACTGGGAGCCACATTGCATCGTGACTACACTAAATACCAGGGAAAATGGTTCTCTTAGTGGCACATGTGACAGTAAATGCAATATACTGTAAGCATCAACAAAAGTGCTACTTCAGACCTCAATACATAACACCACTAGCTAAGTATATTTATTTTGGAACAAAAAATATGTCAATCAAAACCTTAATTTGAATGAGATGCACTTTGTTTCTTTAGACGAAACTGTTTCTTGTGAATTTTTACTGCCAATGAAAACCTGATTTTAACACACATGAGTATCAAAGGAAGCAGTAGGAGCCCGGAATTGTCTCTGTAGTTTTGGGGTTTTTTTAAGTTAATCGGACCATGGGAATGGTCCTCACATTTTGTTTAAATGCAGGAAAGATAGAAAGGGATGGGATTATGAAGGCAATCACGCTCCCCTTATTAATAGTCAATTCCTTATTAGCGGTGAGTGTTCACGTAGAAGCAGTGACGCCGGTAACAATTTGAACTTTTGACGGGTTTATTGCAGAGCGATTCAACCTCGCTCGTGTGCGAGCACGACACAACCGGTGCCGCAGCCAAGGCCGGGCAGGGAACACCCGCAGCCCACAGCACGGGCACCGCTCCCAAGGGACAGCGCGGCGCCTGTCCCGCAGCTCACACGGCTGCGGAACGGGGGGCTCGGAGAAGGAGCCGCCCTGCAGGCAGCGCTCCTCTCCACCAGGACGGGGAGGGCAGAGCTCCAGCGGGGCACAGGGAGCTCGGTCCCGTCGGGATCGCTGCGAACGGAGCGGCACCGCAGCGGGAGCGGAGGCGCAGGGGAGCGGAACCGGCACCGCCACCGACGGGGCCGCGCCGCCACGGCCGCAGCTATCGCGAGACTTCGCCGGCCTGGTCGTCACGGCAACGGCGGCGGCGCCCGCGCTGCTGCCCTCCCGCGGTGAGGACGGGGCTGCTGCCTCCCTGCCGGCCTCTCTGCCTTCTTCTCTGCCTTCTTCTCTGCCTCCCTGCCGGCCTCTCTGCCTGCCTCTCTGCCTCTCTGCCTCCCTGCCCACCTCTCTGCCGGCCCCTCTGCCTCCCTGCCTGTGCTCCCTGCCTGCCTCCTTCCCACCCTGCCTGCCTCCCTGCCTCCCTCTCTGCTTTCCTGTCTTCCTTCTTTTCTGCCCTTGTTCCTCCCTCCCTGCCTGCTTTCCTCCCTCCCTCCCTCCCTCCCTCCCTTCCTCTCTCCCTGCCTCCCTGCCTCCCTTATACTGTAATAAAGGCTTTCATTCATTTGAGCCCTCGCTCCCTCTCCCTCCCTCCCTCTCTCTCTCCCTCCCTCTCTACCTGCTTTCCTCCCCCCCTTCCTCTCTCCCTGCCTCCCTTCCTCTCTCCCTGCCTCCCTTATACTGTAATAAAGACTTTCATTCATTTGAGCCCTCTGAGAATTTCCAGCACGTGTCACGATGCTCTGAGATGTCGAATTCCTGTGAATTCACACAGTTTTGTTGTTGTCTTTTTCAGAGAAACGCGTGTGTCTGTACTTTAAACTACAGCCGCGATAATTCCTCTGTTGTGAGATTATTTGTAAGATGTATGCTATTCGAAATATCTTTGATTATAAGCATGTTTGAATACTTTGGTTGGCTTGATGATATATATTTTTATGTATATTAAAAAGAAAAGCACATACTTGAGTGGCAAGCCAGTCTGAATTAGAAAAACCTTGCAACATGAAGTTGCTAGAAAGCATTTGAAACTTACATGATCTATATCTGAAATATTGCAGGGCTTGTAGTGCTTTATTTTGAAACTGTTCATTTAAAATGTTGTTTTTGCTGTTTTTTCCCCCCCGAATTTAGGTAACAGTGGATATTACAAGTAGGAGCTTGGATGAAATTTCAAGGTCTGCATCTAGCTCGACCTAATTGTAGATTTTTAAATACATCTATGGAGTTAACGACACCAGAACCATGTTTGCAAGAGGTAATTTTTCTCTCCTTCAGCAGCTTAAAACCTCCATGCCTAATTCCTCATAGTAGAATGCTAAAGAAGTAGTATTCTGCTTTTTTAGTACCCTAGCCTGACAAGCCCAAATCTGACAGTCTAGGGAATGATGAGCTGGAGAATCAATGTGAAATCTAAGAAAAAGAGCTCTTTCCTAGTATCAGTATCAGAGCTGAAAATGGTTCTTTTATTTAAGAAGTTCTCTGCAGCATTGTACAGAATTGTTGTTGTCCTTTGTGATAGCACGTGAGTATTGTGGTTATCTTCTTCACCCAAAACATCCCTGTTTTCAGGATGGCAGTAATTTGCATTTCATAGGTTGATTCACCTGTCAGTTTGGCTGATGATTATCAGAGTGGCAGTCTAGAAGATGGCTGTCCAGCAGAAGACAAAGGTGATGACAGAGATAAATCTGATCTCCAGGAAGTAAGAACTGATCAGCAAACAGTGGAGAGCATGATCATCTCTCTTCACAAGTGTCTGTGGAATCCCGACAAGTTGTCAGGTGGGAATGACTAATACTTTCTTGTGTTGTGTCTAGACCAAATATCAAGTTTTTATAGTTCAGGTGAAATTCTGCGGATTGAGGGAACAGAGGTTGCGAATAGGCAGAATTCTGGAAAAGAAGATCTCAAAATCCATACCTTCATTTCTCTTCACTATTTGAAATCCACCTTTGAAAGAAATGTGTTATTACTGTCAGTACAGTACAGTAAATGTCTTGTGGCATCATAAACTGTGATCTGGCCTAAAAGATCATTAAAACCCATCTGTGTGTGTTCCATGGAATCATGTTAGAAAGTGTTTTCATTAAGATGTTTTTATCAAACTTTTCAGAGTAATCATGATCCTATTTTAGAAACATTGTATCCTAATAATGGTCCACCTGTCCAAAAACCTGGAATTTATGGTTATAAATGACAGCATTTAACAAATGAACAACGTTAATACTAATAAAATACTTTAAATATAAGTATGCAGTGTATAACTTTAATTGAAACACTTGCAGAAGTGTTTAATGGAATTCTTCTGTCATTCTGTAAATGATAATGGATTAATGTTCTGGGGTGTCCAACTGCTTACAAATAGAGGTGAAAAGGCCAGTGAATGAAGCAGATGTTTGGATACTGTCTTGAAATTTAATTAAGAATTCATGACAGAATTGGGGTCAAAAGAAATCCCTTGATTCCTGATCCTGTTTTTAACATGAGTTCTGGTGTACTAGTATATGCTGTTTTTAAAATTAATTCATTGCAAGGGCTCTGTGGTGATCCCTAATTGACAAAAATGTATCTGGTTTATTGTGAAAGGCTTTTCCCTGTGTTTTTCAGGATGTAGCTCTACTTCAGGTTCTCGAGATGAAAGCACTGAAACACACATGTTGAAATTCTGTGAACCTTCCCCAGGACAACCAAGTAATGCAAAGTCAGATACTAGTCCACAAACCTTGAAATCTTGTGAACCTTCCCCAGGAAAACCAGGTAATGCAAAATCAGATAGTACTTTTCAGGTTTATGGAATGAGCATGTGCAATAAAACCCTTTCCTTTTCTTATTATTGCTTCTAAGAGAGTTTGTAATGGTTGTGTATTTGTGTGTATATTCTACAGTTATAAAAGAATACTGCAAATTGAACATGTATATGAATTGTGCTTTGCAAGTGGTATTGGATGAATTCTTTATTTAGAGAATTGCTTTATTAATGGATATTAATTTTCTTTAGCACTATAATAGAATTTGAGTTTTCCGTAGATTCAATCAGTCTAATAAGGCAGAATTCAGTGGTTATCATATCCAGTGCAGCATTGTTGGTCACCAAACCTGATATTAATATCTACAGAACAGAAATTCGATAGAACTCAACCTAAAGCTTCACTCAGTACTTTAAGGTTTATATCAATCTGCTGAGTTCAGACCAGTTGAAATAAGTGCTCTTTTTTTTACCATCTGTCCTTTGGTCCATCTGTCCTCAGCAGCTCACTTAGATTTTCATAGCTCTCCCCTTGTTGTATCCATCTTATTTTTATGGCATAAAGTAGACCAATGCATCACAGTCAATGCTTGGATCAATGGCTATGTAAAGCATTTGACCTCAAAAGATTAGAAAATTAAATAGAGTGTTGCAGGGTTCCAAAATTTGTAAGTCTATGGGATCAGGGACAGTGCTACAAGTGTTTCCTCTACTCTTAATGTGGAAGCCATAGAAGAGGACAGAGCATGAGGATGCTATAGGAAGGGGAAAAGGTAAAAGTTGTAATTACAATCTGCATATTTAGGAAAAAAAAGGAGAAAATGTAGAAATTTGCTTTAATTAAGTGATGGTAGTTTCCATCATGTTTCACAGTTTTTCATTTTTTATAGCAATATTTTTCTAGAACCAGTATTGGAATCTGGTTTTGCTAAGACATAAGACTGAAAATTCTCTAATATTTAAAGGCAGAGATATTGCAGAGTCTCTCTTAACCCCCTAAAAAGTCTATCTTTTGAATTATTAATTTCAAAATGTTTTCTACAAGTCAGGCTGAAAAAATTGTCTTATATTTTTAAGGTCAGTGTTTTTTTGCCGATATTGTGGAGATGTTGTCACTCTGCCGTTATAAATTTTAATCAAATCATTTGCTCAAAATAGGTGACTTTTCCTCTCCCACACCTCCATATCCAACTGCTGCAGCTCAGAGTTTGATTCAGCACTCTTTTGCAAAGACTTCTGTATTTTTCCCTCTACAAACAGGTTTAGAAATTAACATGTGTTTGAGAATGTTGTACTCTCGTCTATGGGCATTGCCAAATTACTTGAACTGCTTTTTAATGTTTGTTTGGTTTTTTGACTTGCTTCAAGCCAACATTAATTTTAAATATATTCTCCAGCAGACTCTTCTGACTTGGAATGTTCTGAAGACATGGACATAAATACTCGGATTCAAGCAGCTATAAAGAAAATGAATAAACTTGATGCAATACTTGAAAAACAGTGTTTTAAGGAAAAAGCAGTTAAAAAGCGAGGCAGAGAAATGAGGGCAATGCTCTGGGAAGAACTTCAGGTTAGAAGTGTTCTGCTTATTTTGTGACTGATATATCTCAGAGTACCGTCTTACAGAATTGTTGTATTTCAGAGAAGCCTTATTATTAAAAAACTCACAGTTGGCTAACTAAAATTAAGAAATGGATCTTAAAAAGTAAGATTAGAGAGTTTTTAATACATATTGGCTAGGCATGCTTTGAAAGAGGGAGATGGTCCTTAAATATTGATAAGACAAATTGCCAAATACCCAGCTGTCTGGGAGTGGTTTATTAGCATAGTATTATGCTTGAGTTCTCTGCTTGCAGGGAGGGTAAGGTGTGTCAGGAGGTAACGTCAGGCTGAAAAGCATTTATTCTGCTCAAGTGGGATCCTTCCTAGGCCCAGCTGTTTCAGTACTGTCTGTTGTTGAAGAAATTAAAGATGCTGCCTGAAGAAGGCATAAGAATGCTACAACACAAATTCCTTTATCCTAGCCCTGTCCTGGCCTCTAGCAGTTAAATGCCTTGAAACAAGTTAGTATTTCCTCTGTTTTACATGAATAGAAATGGGAGTTGTGAAAAAACATGATTGGTTTGACTGCATTTCATAACTTAATTGGATTTGGATTTGGAGCTGCATAGACATTACAGAACTTCTTTGTCTGGTGAAGTCTTCACATAAAAGGCAATATGTAACTGAGGCATTAAAGTTTCACCATACTTTTGTCATAACTTCAGGAGATATTCTGATAGCTTCAAGATGAAAATAAATTGAGAAGAGTAATTTTTAATAGAGTCTGAAGTTCATTAGATCTGATAAGCAGACAATGTATTTCCCTTTAAAGAATTTACTTTAAATGCATGCATGTATCTCTACATACACAGTTTATTTCTTTTGAATAGTGTATCAGAACCACAGGAAGCAATGAGGAGGTGGAAAACATAAACAAGTTTTTAGCTGTGTTCTCATCATGGCATAATACAGCTGGTAAGTAAAGAGAAACAGAATTGTGATACATCCTATCTTTTTTCTTTTTGGGAAGAGAATAAGGATTTGAGATCTGAATGGTTATTGTTGAGTAAAAATCTCATCTTGAATGTTGGAAGTACATGTATAATAATGGTAGCAGTGTGTAGTTAAAATATTTAAACAAAACTTACTATTTACAATGTAACCTGCTTTTATTTCTATGCTAAAGTTTGGGTTACTAAGGAAAGAAACAATTTGATATGGGTGATATTTAGACAGCCTCCAGTAGATGTCAGGATATATTAAAATAACACTAGACAAACAAGACTATATAACTGCTAACTCTTATCTCAAAAGTAACGCCTGTAGAGACCATGTGCATCACATAGTTTCTGGTGTACTACACTGAAAAACTGCATAGTTTAGATTTATAGCTTTCCTCCAACTTTATATTTTCTGTATCCTGCTAGTGCCTTACTTTTAGGTCTTACTTATTTTGGTATTTATTTAATTAAACAAATGTCTTGGTGGCTGTCCTGGTTGATACTGAAATTGAACACATTTAATATATTTTGCTTTTCAGAACTTGAATTTCATAGAGCTTTATTAAGTAAATTATATATGAGAGCTATTATAGTTTTTAATGTAGCTATGAAACCAAGCACAAGTTCGGGTACAAAATCATTAATAACTTTAAGTGTTCCAAGCCTTTCAGGCACAAGAAAAACTTCTGACACACAGCAGAAATCAGGGTTAATTAAACAGCCCTAAATTCCTTACCCAATGCTCTGTTTAACAAAATCATTTGTTCAGTTGAATCCATTACACTTCATTATTACTGATTATTGTATGTTTTTTTTCATTGTGAAAATCACATATAATTAGTTTGGTTCTTTGCAATATGAGTCGTTTTCTGTAAGTGCTACGTGTGTAAACTGTGTCTTACTGCTCTAACCTGTATTTCCAGCTGGCACATATGAATACTTCAACTGATGTATTTTTTTCTTTGAGTAACCGAAACAACTAGGATGTTTTAACACTGTTTTTCAAGACTATGCCCTTGACCTAAGCTGCTTGGAAGTCTAATAATTCATGCACAGGCAGACACCAGCTGTGAAAACCTGGATGCCTTACTCTCATTCAAAGTTTTAGATGACTTGCCACATGGTGTCTGCAGAGGCATTTGAGTTTAGTGCCTTAGGCTATGTCTTGGAGAATGTGATGAATTGTCTTCCAAGGGCAGTAGTTGTTAAAAACATGAACACAGCCATAAGAAACTGCATGAATATGACTCACACTTTACACTTTCCCCCTTCTTTATTTTTTGAGAAATACAGTGCTTATGTCATTTATCCAAGTGAATTTCTTTGCTTTCTGAGTGTATGATACACGACGTTAGATCTTTAAATATATTTCAGTTAAATTTTACTGGAAAAAATTTGTTGCAGATCTCTCCCATACTAAAGAAGATGAAATATGTACTTCCGTATCTCACCCACACACGAATCCTGAAGATTATGATTGCCATAAAGCCCAAGAAAACCAGGGTAAGCTTTATTAATGGTAGAGTTTGTATTGTTAGAAATGGGAAAATGACATGTATAATGGGTGGGTAATGAAGACTCAGCCTTTTGGCAAGGCCAGTGAAATGGGAAAAAGCAAGGTTACTTACTGGAATAGTGACAATTCTTACCTTTATTGCAAATGGAAGAAGAGAACAGCTGTGTGACTTATCTAAGACGTTTTACTCAACATGCTAAGAAATTTTTTACTGCTGGGTTTATAAAGCCATTTTTCTATAATTTCAAAAGGAAGAGGTGTGTAACTGGTATATTGTAAAATGTATCATTGATTCTTCATGGCAATTCTTTAAAAACTTATCTCTGCTGTTACTCTAAGGTACTGTAGCTTTTATTAATAGGCTTATATTCAAGAAAGCATGTAAAAATGACAGGTGGTGCTGAATCTGACTGCAACTGTTCTGTATTTTTTTTGGTTTTCAGCAGAAATCGTACAGATTTGTGTCAAGCAAAATCTTCAGACAACTTATTTTATATTTGGTATCCTGATTATTGTAAAGTCTGTGTTGCTTTTATGAAATAAGTACTTTCTGACAAAACTCAAACACGTGCCGATTCTTTTAGGGATCATGTGATATCATGCATTGTACAGACATTTCAAATGCTGTTAGTGGTGTAGTGTGTCCATCATGTACTGTGTCCATCCACAATTCCATCAAAATAGATGGAATTGTGCTTGTATGCCTCTATTCTTTTCCTATTTGAAATTCAAATTTCTGTGGTTAGTAACTTTTCACATGTGTTGTAATAAAAGAACAATAGCTTCAACTGCCATTGCTATCGGCTGCAGTTGTTTATTTCTTTGTCAACCACCCTTCTATGTAAACAGAAGGAATCGATCTTCCTGGTGACTGAGATGACAAAGATTTAATATAAGTGCATTCCTTAAGGCTGAAGCATTGATGGCAGCAATACCTCTGCAGTTTGTAGAATGTGACTGCATGTTTTAATTTTAACATGGAACTCAGCTCCTTTATCATTTTAGCACTTGTCTTAGTTCCCCAGTATGTGACCTTATCTTTCTGGGCTAGAGCTTTTAATTTCTCTGTTTTTCTACCATGTATTTTCTTTCCTCCCTTAAAATAAAGCTTGACCCTCAGCTTCTTGCTCCAAAATTTCTGAGTTGTGCTGGAGTGCCCTTGAATAACAATGGCAGGTTTCATTACCAGTATTCAATACAGCACTGACTTCTGGAGCTCCCAGTACAGGCATGGTTGGGAGTTGCTATCACTTGCACTATTTTGAGATGTTCTGCACATTCCTACTTTGGGAATGCATGAAGTAGAGATCACTTACAGCTTCTGAGCAATATATATTGCTTTAAATGACTTTAACTATTTCTGCTGGAGGCTTTTCATGTGGTGTCTGAATAGCTAAGAATTACTGTTTTAGTTTCTTTTGGATTTCTGTGTCACAGCTGTCATAAAAGCAGACCAAGAACAAGAGGAGCTTGTGAAGAAGAATGTATGCACTAGTTTTATGCTGTTACTTCATCAGTCTCATCAAGATTTATACCAAATCTTTGAAATATATGCCAAATCTATCAAAATGCACATGCAAAATTTGTTTAGCTGCAATCTCTCTTTTAATTACCCTTGGCAGTCTTCAGTGTATTCTTTGTCTCAGTGATCCATGTCTTTCCCTTCTTTCTTCAATGTTCTGAGATGTTCTGTATGATAGCTCCCACTCAAAAATGCTATTCTACAGTAAAGTGAAAGATATAGCTTAAAAGTAAGGTTATGTTGGTGTTTGGTATGTTCTGCTCATTTCAGGATGCAACTTGTCATCTTTATATTGATGCTTACATTGCTATATGATCCATTTCCTTGACACATGGTGTTGCCTGGTAATGGTAAAGAAAGCTTAGGATACTTTCAGAAAACAGTTACACATTTGAGCTGTGAGGGGATTTCTTGGTCAGATCCACCACCTCAGTCCTTTAAGGTTTGCGTGTAAAGGATGCATGGAATTTATTTCTTACCTTTGGGAGCTTGCTTTCATTCTGTTCCCTCTGAAAAACAGTTACTTCCATATAGCCTATCTTTTATTATCTAACATGTCAAATTCATTTTTTTGTAGGGAAATAACCCACACATTTTTCAAATTTCTGCTTCCAGAAAAGCAAAAAGTACCATGGCTGCTTTTGAAGTAGTTCTTGAGATTTAGAAGTTGATTATATTTGCTTAGGCTTGTTATTTAATGTGACAAATATTTGCTGTTTGTAAAGGAATTGTTATTTTAAGCATGGTAAAAGTCTCTGAAAAACAGAATCATGCCTTTTTTTTTGGTCATGGACAGAAACCTATTGTTATTAGAATATCATGTGTGTGTTTAATAGATTTACAGCTCTATGATGAGTTTTATTTTTTAACAATGTTTGTTTTATAAACTGTTATAATAATATCAACTATATCATCTGTTTTTCAGCTGTTTTATTTAGAAAAATGTACTTGATATGTCTCCAGATAGTTCTGTGGTTTTCAAAAAAATGATTGTCTGGTTTTGTAATGATGAGAAAACTGTAATGATGATAGGGTTTAAAGGAATGCTGTGGCTTTTAAGGCCACCATGTTTAACATTTTTGAGGTCAGAAATCCAAAAGTATTTCAGCCTTTGTAACATTGAGTGATTTCATATAATAAAAAGTTGAAAATGAAATTAGATTTTGGCAATAGTATGTTTTAAATGCAATAATACATACTACTATTTACATAAATAATGAAAACATCATACAAAAAGTTTGTCTACTGACTCTATATATTTGCTAAACGTTTGAATGGGATTGATGTTATTACAGTTCTTGGAGAATCAAAATAGGAATGATTTTAATGTAGCAACTTTTCTTCCTCAAACATCAGATTATCCAAGTGAATTAGAAACAGAAAAAACAGCAGAAAAAACGCATAGCAAAAATAAAACCAACCAGCATTTCATTAAAAAGAACATTGAGGTAAGCACTGAAGCATAAAACCAGTAATATTTTTAAAATGTTAGCTAGAAAATAGGCAATAAATACTTTTGAAGACAGTTTTCTTTTAAAATCAGGAACTTCAGAATCTAGTTAGGCATAAATGAAGATATTACCTTTTTGTTAAAACTGCTGTTTATGTCAGAGTACTGTATTAGACAGTTCTCAACTTGGATGTTCATATTGGTTAGGATAATGCAGCTTCTATGCATTTGATAAATAGTACTGGAAACTGAATTGTGCTTGTGCTTGGACATAGTTTTTTTTTAAGGGCAATATCCTAAGACTTTAAAAAAATTTATTTACTGTTAAATAAACTTAACTTTATTTACTGTTAACCTGATGCATAAATAAGGGATAGATATACACATTGTTCATGTGTAGCGTGGATGGGACCACGTTTTGTCAGAAAATACATCCCTTGATTTTCTGCTTTTTTTCCTGTGAGGACCTAGTAGGTATCATGATTTTTCATCTAATGAAAAATATTTGCTTCCCCACTATGTTAAAGACTAAGATAGGATTATAAATTAAATATGTAGGCTGCTGTATTTTTCTGTCAGAGTGATGATTTGTATTATTGAAATAAACAGAGTCTAAAAGCTTTGTTTTGGAGGTGTTTGAGTTAGTGGAATTCTTAAGCATGGGTTTTTTTCTTGTTGCAAATATTTCAGCTAGCAAGGGATTCAGGAAACCAATTTGTTATGCTTGAGGGAGAAAGGAAAAGGCTAACTGAACTATTGAAAGATACAGAAAATGGAACTGAATTGCAAGATCTTGAGGTATGACAAATTTACACTGTACTGTTCTATTGTATTTCATTTATTTTTACAGTAAATCTAAATTTTATCTTAATTCTACCATGAAATACCCTACTGAGATATGAGAGAAAATATGATAGATCCTGTTGAATTTGTCTCCAAAAATGAATTCCCATTGGTTTCTTTGTTAATTTTACTAATGTCAGAACTTAAAAGAAAAGTTGGGCACAGGAAGAGGAAACCTTATAACAACACTTGAAGAAAATTACCTTTTTTTTGCATAAAATGTGAAGTTGTGGAGTATCAGTCTGAATGGTTAGTGCTGTAGTCTCAGGCAGGAAGGCCAGCAACTACTTGCAAAAACCTCCCAACAACAGTTTTTTGATGACTGATAAATGGACTTAAAAATGCAGTAACTGGGGAAATAACATTTATGAAGGTTCTGTGTCCATTTAGCCACAATCTTTTTGTGGCTTCCAGCATATTTCTGTAGCTTCCAACTCAGTCTGTCTTAAAAGTACATAGTTTGCTTAAGCATTAGACATGTATGCTTTAACATAATATTGTTAAACAGTGCACAGTCTGCATACTTCAGTGAATAGCAGGTGTTGAAGTGAGTAAAAATTAGTCTCATGGAGAGTAACATTTGTTTGTCCCATCAATCACCGTTTCTAGGAGATGGTCTTTAGTTTGATAAATGCCATAATTTAAAGATCTGAAGATGTTTTAAACAACCTTCTGTTAGTAAATGTAGCTTTCTGACCTAGGGAATAGTGGCTTTTAAAAATTATTTATTTTACTGATTGCAAAAATGTTCTCTCAAAACATGTAGTTACTAGGTTTTCTTTCTCTTTAAGCTAGTGTCTGTCATGGAATTTAGAGGCATTTATGCAGAGTAGCTAATGCAAATTCCAACTAACAGTTGTACTTTTTTTGGCTTCAATTCTCAAGGCATCAAGGCAATGGAAAAGTATAACATTTGTCTACATTTTGCATTTGGCACATGTCACTATCATGTTGTTGTTTATCTATAGAGATTTCACTGCTAATATTAGATATGAAATAGATCATCTCACAGGACACGTGTGTTGCTGTATGTTCTTGATACCATGGACAAGAATGGTAGTTTGTGTGTTACTCTAGTCTGTACTAGATAATTTCTTTAGAGGACAAAGCTCTTAACTGTCCTATCAAAGTACAGTGAAAGCAAGGATAATAGTTACTTAGGTCTGTCTAGTCTAGTGATGGATTCTTCCACATTGAATTTTTTTGTGGGTGAAGCATTTCTGTGGCTACTTCATAACAAAAATCATGAGGAAATTATCAGCCAATGAGTAATCTAGACAACTTCAAGCTGGCCCAGGTAACTATCCAGCTAGTGGCCTCTTTCATCTTATTTTATTCTGACTTTTAAAAAGTTGGTGCAATCACATTGGCTGGAGTAATGTTTTGGAGGCTGCCAATCAAGGCAGATCTGGTTATGAATGTTGTATGAATGCATCTGTATGGTGTAATGTGGATTAGATAACCTTATTTGACTTGTACTACTATATATGCCAAATATCCAAACAGCACTTCTCACTTTTTGAAAGAATGTTTTTTGAATGTTTAAGATATTTTAGAAGTACACATATTCATGCTAATTTAATTGTCAAAGCTGGAGCTGCAGATAATTGTTTCAGATGTTCCACAGAAAGTACTGACTGTGCTGTTATGAAAGTATTGTTCTGAGTTAACACAAAGGAAACATTGACAGGACAGAAGCTTATTTTCCAAGCAAAGCTATCTTGAAAATACAAAAGAGGATGTGTGATTCCATTTCATCCTGGAATAAAATGACTGCTGGGGTAATTTGGATGTTTGGAGTATGGGATACAGAAACTGAGCTGTAACTCATGAGTCCCGTTACATCTTAATGTACTCCTGTGAAGTCATTTCTGTGTTTTTGCTCTGTGATTTTCATTCTCTGATTAGGAGGTGGTTGACATGACACAAATATAGTACCGTGCTGGATACTTATGTTTTTGTGGTCACTGTCTCACCTGAACATATGTTTCTACAAAGCTGGCAAGCATCTAAGAGTTTGTGAGTGGCTATTTTGGAGTCAGCTCAGGTCTGGTCAGGCTCATTAGTTGTGTCTCATCATGCTTGTATGATAAAGCATTAGAACTGATTTGTTTCACAAAAAAGATTGCTCTCTCGACTCTCTTTTTTTCTTTCTTTTTTTTTTTCATTTATTATGGAGGTAATTTATGACAGGTGTTTGGGGTATGCTTATTTTTTCTTTTTGCAACTCATATGCTTTAGGGTAATGGGGTTGAACCACAAATGACCTCATAGCAGTGGTATTGTAATTGGAAGCTGTTATTTCCTCCTCTTGTATGGATGCAACTGCTTGAATAGCTAGGGGACTAATCTGGAAGCTGGAAACAAACGGTGGACATGGATTTCTTGCAAGGCAGATGTTAGAGTCTTAGGACAAACAACTGCTTGAATAGCTAGGGGACTAATCTGGAAGCTGGAAACGGTGGACATGGATTTCTTGCATGGCAGATGTTAGAGTCTTAGGACAAGGTGCTGGTCCTATTCAGGTAGGAAGAAGAAAGGAAACCAGCACTACGCTGTCCTTTGACACATCCTTTCTCTTCTAAGGTCCTATCTACTGCTTCATTCTGCTGTGGTCAGGACAGAGATGTAATCTGCTACTCTGATACCCAGTGGATGGGGGTTGTGCAGGCTTGGTTCCCTGAGTGTGAGGCAGGGAGTGCCAAGTTGCTGTGGAAAACCTGCATCTGTCTGTGGGTATGAGCTCATTGGCTTGGCTTAAGTGGCCTAGCTCACTGACAACATGCAGCTGTATGTAGTATGAGTATATATTCATATGTGTTATTCAGGTGTTAACTGCTATCAAGAGGAAAATGTCATGTAAATCATGATTTACTCTCTGCTTTGTGTCTCTCCCAGAGTTTCTGATATAACACGTAGGGGCTCTAGAAGGATGGCAGCTACTGACCTCAGAGCAGTTCCTTTGATTCCCTGTGAATGCTTTTTTACTTCATGGGTGGTACCTTGCAAGTGTCACATTACATCTCATACCCTCTGATTTGGCTCCAGGTGGTTTCTGCTGTAGTATCAACCTCTGCAGTTTCATTCCAAACCAAGTTTTGGTTAGGCTTTCTCACTTTTTGACTCCTTTCTCAGATGGAAAGTGGCTGTCCATTTAAGTTGCTCCTTGGTTATTTTTAAAAGTGATAAATGTATGAATGTCTCTACTTGTTCTGTCCATAGTTGCTCTCGAGTGTGCTAGGGACATGAATATTGAGATTTCAGCTGTATACTGAGATGGATGAAAATGTACATTTTATTATTAAGTATGGTTTATCTGAAAAATAAATACACTTGATATGCAACTGCCCTTAAAAGTCTGTTTCCTTTGTGAATGAAGCATAAGTATTTTCTGTACATCCAGCAGGAGAATGTACCTGTCTGGCAGGCACCAGGAGAAGGATACACACCTGAACTGGTGGAATTTCATCTCCTGAATGAGATTGACAGTAAGCTTCAACTTCTACTATCTGATGGGGAGCTTCCTGCTCTTTCCAGCTCTAGCTCAAAATGTCCAAGCCAGATGTATCAGGTAGGTTACAGATCGGAGCTCATTTGCATATATTTTATATGAAGTGTGTGCTGAGATCAATACTGCATATGGCTGTATTTGTATCTTTTGCATTTTTCTTTAGGATCCTCTATTTATTCATAAAGTTTATGTATTTAGGAGTGAAGTGAGAAATTTTAGCTGTAGAAAACAATGGAAAAATAATTTGTTGCTGTTTTGAGTCATATGTAATTCGAGAACTGACTTGTTTTTAAGAGTTGTTGATTCCACACTTCCAAGATACATGTTCAGAAATTGGTAACTTGTACATTTTTATCTGCATGAGGGTGGTTTTTTTCATCATAGAAACAAATTATGCATTTAATTTACCTTTGGGAGTTAGAATTAGGTTTCTTCTTATCTCAGGATACCAAAAGTGCCTGTTCCCTTATGATCTGAAAGATAAGGCAGTGACTGATAAGCAATAAAGACTGTAGAAGATAGATTGAAATTGTGTGTCCCTTGTTTTTCATGGCCTTTGTCTTTTTGTCTTGCCAGCAATATTGAGATTTGAAGATTAAAAATCAAGGTCTCAGCCTTGAGAAATGATTGTTTGAATTTTGTACTTAGAAGACTCTGATTTATCCCATGCCCTGATACGGTTGTCTCTGCTATAATGGAGTTTAAAACAAAACCCCCTAATTCTTATTTTTCATTTATTTGCACAAAGCTTGTTTACTTCTGTAATATTTTCATTTTATGGCTAGAACTGAAGTATCAGAGAATATCTGTAAAAATGTTCATTCACAAAACTGTTTTCATTTACCAGTGTATGAGAAACATCCTCTCTTTGAAAGACTAAAATACCTGTGGGCTTGTTTTTTTCTCCTTTTGTAAGGGCACTTTAATGTAATTTTTTTTTTATGGGCTTCTTTCTGAACGTGAGGTTTTGTTTTACTTCTAGCAATACTCCTCTGTAGCTCAGTTCCAGAGGAGTCACATTTTGATGTTGATCATTTACCAGCTGGGATCTAATGTGTGAAAAAGCACCTCCCTCTTGTTGGTAATCACATAACAAATGCAGTTGTTACCCTGAGCTTGCCAGTGATTGCCTGATCTTGTGTTCAGTGTTGCAAGACATCAGCTTGAAGTTAATGTGACTTGCCTGGGATAATGAGTGCTCTGTTTGGAAATGTTTGTCCAAGTTATTGTTGTTGCTTCCTTTCAGGTAATAGCCCAGAAATAGTTGAATAGAAACTTGAATTTAGGTGTATGCTAATTAAAGAGTAATGTATTATCTTTTTTGAGTAATATTAAACCTAACAACCAAAACCAGGTAGCTAATTCCTTGTTACTTTTCATTAGTGAAAAGCAGTTCCCTTCAGTTTTGTTTGACAGCATGTAAAAAGCTTTCAGACCTTGTAGTTCTCTGATTTTAATTTAGAATTAGCTTGGAGTTGCATGTGATGAAGCTGCACATTCTTTTCTTCCAAGAATTATGTTACATATAGCTTCCAAAATGCAAACACTTAATCACTGTTGCCTCTGTGGGAGATGTCCTTTTAGTCACTGATGGATCCTTTGCCAGGATACAGGAACTACTTTCTCACTCTGAAATCTTTAATAATGGGCTTCAATTATCCTGCAATACCATAGCTGAGCTGTAACAGAGGAGCAGACATGTTCATCTTTTTGTGCAAGAAGTCCAGTGGGATTAAGAATGCTTTTCCATGACTAATGTTCTCTTTTACATGGAAATGTTTCTCATCAAAACTGCATTTCTCTCAGAACTGTTTCTTTGCTTTGGTGCCAAATCAACTAAATATTTAAAAAAGTTTCTGTCTTACTTAATATTTTTGGGGAAGAATAAATGAAGTTGAATTTGATCCCAAAAGAAACAGGAAAATGATAGGCTGAAGAATATGAAATGTAAGATTGTGTGTGATGAGTACAGTTACCAGCTTGAAAAATTGAAAAATTACCTGAAAACGAAACCAAATTAAGATGGTATATAAAGAAATAATAATATCTGTAGGCTTGGTTGTTCTGGAAGATAACTAATGTGTATTATCATGAGGAGTTCTTTTGTAACTGATTGGGGGCTTTTTTAATCAAGAAAATATTCCCTTTTTCTATTATAGCAGTGGTCTACAGTTAGCAGTTTAAGATTAAATAAATACTCAAAATTCAGAAGATACACTAATTTTTCAATGAATGAAGTCCTTGATAGTTTATACTCTATGCCTGTGCTTTGCCAAAACAGATGAATTTCACAGATTATGATGATCTGTTTCAGAGCATGGCTAGAAGCAGGTTAATAAACTGATCAGCCAGTTTTATGCCTCAAGATGATTGTATGACCCTAATATGCTTCATTAGGTGGGATTTTGTTGTTATTTATGTATAAAATTCGGAGGAGAGAAAGCTCAACAAATAATTATGGGTACTTCAAATAATGCATATTTCTCTTTAGCGTTATGTTTGTTTCAGCTTTGGCTCTTGCTTAATATTTGTATTTTCCCTTATGTAAAATGTTTAAAAATTTTCTACAGATCTAAAAATATGAAAAACAAAGTAATCTTAAATGGACTTCTCTACTATGTACATGTGCTATATAATTGAAACAAAACGTATTCTGAAGTGTGCAAAACATTGATAATAAAATGTTTTCCTTGATATAATACTTTATACACTTCTTTAATGATATTTTGAGAATAATGTTAAAACATTAGTAAGTGGGGAAAAGCCTTGACTTTACTCATATTGTGTGAGTTTCTATCAGTTACTATTCAGGGATGAGAGAAGTGAGGCTGAAAGAACTACTTATGAGGAAGCAGCAGCTTAATGCTCCAGAGTGGTCAAATATAAAATAGATTATTGTGAATAATTATGAAAGCAACATTTAATGAAGCAGAAAATATGCTTGTTACAGGAAAGTTTACTGTCATTATGGTACTGCCAACTATTACTGATTGGAAATAAATATTAAACAATTTTTACTGTATTAAAGTAAGTTTATTTTCAAGCAACTAATATTTTGCTTTAAATGTCAGAACTCATAGATTTCCTTGATGTTTAGAAAAAGTTGTTTACAGATACAGTTTTTCATAAATAGTAGCTGAGGAATTTACTGTTGAATGTTGAATTGTGAAGGTTGTTTTTCTTTCCAATTAGTCATGCTACTTGGAATTATTTTCCTTGTGTGTCTATTAAAATTTCTTGAGCTGCTTCTGAAAGTAAGAATGAATAGAGTATTTTTTTGTTGTATGGCTGCTCATGCCCCTTTGTGTTGAATTGATTATCAAGATAGGGGAAGGTTTTTTGTTTAGGCTTTTTACCTTTGCCATTATTGAATTTTTCGATAGAATCTATGGTTTGCAAGAGAAAGCTCTGGGTTTTTTTCTGATTACAACATAACTTTGTAGCTTTGCCAACACTTGTCATTCTCAATGAACTGAATTACATGTAATACTAAAACCTGACTGTATTTGGGACTGATACAAACTTCAGAATCTAGTCCAAACCTATTGAAGGATGTGAGAATGTGTAACCCAAATCTTTAATAAAGGCTGGGAAATTAACTCCAAGTTACAGAAAGAGGGTTTTTCCTCGTTTACCATGATACCAAGTAAACAAAACCTGTTGTCATTTTGGCTCAGTTTTTCCCTTTTCCTTCTGGCTTAATTCTGATCCCAGTATGGTTAAGAGGAGCAAACTTTGAACCAGTAATTCAGTCACCCCTATTCTCAGAGCGTTTTTATTGTTGTAGTAGAAATTAATCATCCAGGTGTTAGATCTGGAGACTAAGAAATTAGTCTTAAAATGCAAAGAGTAAGAATCCTATGATTGAAATATGTTTTGACTGATATTTAGCTATTGTATTTGAAAATATACATAATGAAAACTGCATTTGCAGAATTTGACATTGATGTATTATTCTAAGCAATTCACTATTTTCTTAGTAGGAATCAGAAGAACCCTCATCTGTCTACAAAGCAATATAAAGTTATGTGGTTAACTTCTATCAATTATTTTCTCAGGAGCCTCTGGTTTATGCAAGCAGAAGCCTAGAAACCATTCCAGGTGAAAAAGTTCTGCGGGAGAATAAGGAAAAACGTGATCAACAGAATCGTCTGAAAGAAATAGATTATCAACTGGAATCCCTAGAGAGAAGTCTTGTAAGTTTTCTACTTTTTGTCATATTTTTATTCCTTCAGTCTGGGAATGTTGGAATTTATCATCCCTTGTATCTTCAAATAAAATCAAGTTCTTTAAACTTATGTAAATTTCTGAAGGAATCCCCAAAGAAATATGCAGGCAAAAGCCTCAAATAATTATTCTTAGTCTGGGAAATCTTTTTTTTTCATTTGTAATGCATACTTACCTTTAATATAGGATCTTTCAAAGACATTATCCTCCTCTCTTCTTCCTCAGAGGTGCATAGCATAAACAATAATATATAAATGCATCCTAAAAAGGATTTTTTAATGGCTCATATACTTCAGTGTTCTTTGAAGGACCAGATCTGATGAGAATATTGTATACACTAAGTTATTGTGGTAATCTTTCTTTATTTTCACTAAATTGAAAGAAAAATAGCATTGTTATATCTGTGCATTGTAGTAATTTGTTTCTTGTGTGTAGCTGATTTTAGAGTTTTTCACTTAGTAAGAAAAAATAAATATCTAAGTTTGTTGTGACTGACCAAAGATCCATGTAGCCTACCTGTTTGTCTTGGAGGTCTTTGTTCAGCAGTAGGTTTACTCTCCACAATAACCAGAGTTAGGAAATGTATTATTCCTGTTATCTTTTATAACACTCAAAAAAGGATCTCTAGTGCAGATCAAAAGCTTTGTGGTTTAGGTGGCAGCATAACCACAGTGCTATAATCTCAATTACTTATAGCATCGTTGCTATAGTTGCAAAAGCTCCAGCCACTCAACATAAGCAAGGTTTATTCTGGCAGTGCTGGAGTATACATGAAATATGAGAACAAAGACTTCAGACAAGGAAACAGTGATTGTTTTAGAAGCTGTTCACTTGGGTGTGTGTGACTACAGTAAGGAAGCATATTTACTTCTTATTTATTCACAGTACCAAAACAATAGTAGAACTTCATTTTAATACACTATTATGTTGTATTAAACAGTTAAAAGAGAGAGACAAATAAATAGGGGAAATCTGTGAGCTTTAGTATATTGAGTAGGTTAATGGGTAATCAGATAAAGTAAGTCTGCATATTGTAGTATTTTTCTGCTCATTGGCCTTTATATCACTTTTTGTTGCTACTGACCTTGCTCATGAGGCAAGCACAATCTGAGGAAGTGTGTCTGGGGATTGTATGATAGTCTACAGCAGGCCTGGGAAATGCAGTGGGCTGCTGACTCATTCAAATATTTTGTTTATAAATGGGTCAGTTCCAAAACTTGGTTGGGTTATAGCAGTTTTGTTTGGTATTACATTACATGCAGACTCTTGCAATATACCACCCATTCTTCCTTGACTAGATTGTGTGTATTTAAAACTCTAAATTGATAGACTGTAATGCCAATTTACACTGTTTATAAATACAGAATGTCACCTACACCAATGTGTAGCATTGTTGCTTGCATTGCAGCACCTGGCAGGGCTTCTTTAGGGGGACACACTGTCCTCTGATCATTGCTGCTCTGGAGCATGACTGAGATCATGGCATATGGATGTCAAATATGTGAGTAGTAGGTCCTCTGTGAGATACTTCAGATGTCAGTGAAGGTAAAGAAGTGTTGAGGTCTGAATGCAAGTAGGTTTTTCCTTCTAACAATAAAGTTAAATTTATAGAAAGATACATTTTCTTGAGTGAAAAAGAACAGCCTTAAAAAATAATGTTTTTTTTTCCTTTTTAATAAAACACATATAATAGAATTTTTTTTTCTTAAATCAGATAATTTCTATGCAGTTTTGTTTCAACCTTGTTTCTATACCAAAGTAATATTTTGGCAAATCTGGTCTCTGCCAAGACACTGCATGATGAAAAACTTGGGTTGAGGAAGGGAGTACATAGATTGCATGTTTCCAGAATAATTTAATAATTTCTGGAAATACTGGTTTTTATTCAATAGGTGGCACTCTTCACTGTATGTCAGAAGAGGAATGCCTAGGCATGGTTATAGGGAATATTTTGACTGGTAATAAAGTTGTCATTTCTGCTTTATAAAATGCAGGTTGTGAGAGATTTACCTCTCACTAATGGCAAGAGTCCATGTGTGCAGCTTTTAGCATTGTTATTTTTCTACTTTTTAAAAAATTGTGTATTTAAAATCCGTGTTTTTAAAATTCACATTGCATTTCAAGTTCTCCTTTACTCTTTCCTAAACCACTGTAATTTGCTGTGTAAAATTATAAACAAATTCTCTGCTCTGAGTAGAGGAGGTGATTTCCCATCAGTTAGGGGTGTTATTTCTGAATGCATAGATATACTTCATAATTGTAAAACACAGTATTTTACAAACATAGTATCTGAGAGAACTTATGTTAAAATGTATTTTGAAAAGTCCCTTGGACAAGATATTTGTGGTTTTCGCTTCCTAGGTGAAAATGATGAATAGCTTAACTAAACAGAATTTAGCTCTGTGTGTTAGGATGTTACTTGCAGTAGGTATAAAGTTAGCTCTATTAGCTTTTTTTTGGTGTATATGGTAGAATGCTGTATTTTCGCCACTACTGTAAAATGGATTATTTAAATTTATTTGTATCATGGTAAAGACCTTCTCTTCAAGGGGAATGAATACATTAATTGTATTTCTGGAGAAGGCTATTTAGTAGGTGCTGGCTTCTGAAATGATAACATTTATGGATTCCTCCACTACAGTTAACCTAATATATCATGTAAGACTTCATGGTCTCAGCTAAATCTGGGAGTAAACTCACAAAACAAAGACAGAAGATAAAACTTTAATCTACTTTACATTTGATATAAACACATAGAATCTGCTAAATATTACATTTGAATTAGTGAAACTAAGGGCTTTGGAATCTGAGTTCCTCCTTTACTTTGAAAAAAATTGTCCCTAGTGAATTAATATACCAAAGAACTTATTGTATGCATTGTTGAAATGCATTGTGAAATTTCAATCCAACTGAAATGTATCTGTACCGTGGTATCTGGGCCCTTGCTGAATTTCTTTTAGGTTTCAGTTTGACCTTAGTTCACTTGTTCTTCATCTGAAACCATGTCTGACTCTCTCCGCATTCTTTCATCTTTCAGTTTCCTGGAAACCACTGAGCTTATCTTTGTTTTGTGGATTGCATTGTTAACTGCTGCTTCAAAAAAATACCCAGTTCAGCTGCCAAATGCGTGTTGCTGAGCATTAATGAAAAGAATTTTATATAGAAAGAAAAATAAATGTAGTTATTTTTCAATTGTGGCTTTGTATCCTTGGCCGTTTGTGATAATCCAGTGGCACGTTTGATGATGTGTTGAATTTCTTCATGGCAGATAGTAGATTTAAATGCACATCAAAGCAAGTTATTATTATAGCTTTACCTTTGCTGCCTATATTTGTGTTGATTTTTAATGTATTACACTGGAAGCTGATTAATTCCTGCCAAAAGTCTATCTACACGTCTCTTTTTGGATTTTGGTTAAATATATAAAATCATAAATACTTCAAATGCATATGGAATATATATGCAAGTAATAGTGTGTATGCACACATATAAATACCAATTACCTCTTGGCACACTGATACCTACTTGAAAAAAAGGTGTCCTCTTACTTCTAGTAAGTGCTTTTAAAACAGAAGCTCTATGTAGTTACCCTAGTCTTAAATTTAAATTTATCAGATATCTGTACACATCTAGGAATTATTTTTTCCAAGTTCATGCAGTCTCATGGCCAAATGCATTGTATGATTGTTAATTATTGTTGTTTTTTTTTTAAACGCAAAGTAGTGTTAGGAAAATATACATTTGGTTATTAGAATAGCTAAAATTTGCAGAAAGGTGTGCAGCCAGGGAGGATGATGAAGAACAAAAATAATAAATGTGGCAATGCTCTCAGGAGCTTTGATTACCTGTAGGAGCTTACTGCAAAAAGCATAGTTCTTATCTTTTTGATGCAAAATAAAGTGTATCTGTGGGGAAATCTCAGGGTAAAATTAATTACTATTTGGTCCTGGAGAAGGTCTTACATCACTTGCATCATTTACTGTGCATCAGGGTGATGATGGGGTTTGTTGTTACACATAGTCTTGTTCCAGTTTTAGCCTGGTACTGATTGAATTCAGTGTACCTGATCCCGAGTCTGTATTAGGCAGCTTCCAGAAAAGAAGAATAATTTCTTCCTGACCTCTGCCATAGTTCCTTTCCTTCCTTCTAAAGGGAAGAAGAAAGTAACATATGGCCCTACCACATATCTGGAAAGTAATTTGTCAACTGTAATATGTTGTATCACAGTCTCTCCAGAAATTAACAACTAATACTGTAAAACACAGAAACCTGGCCATATTTTTAACTATTCTGTGCATTGGTAGTCCTTGTAGATTACGGCAGATAAATAGCAAACATCTTTATTTTAATTCATGTGATATCATGTGGTGTCTGGCTTCTAAATATGCATGTTTTTGTCCATAAAAGTAGAAATTGTTTCATAAAACATTGTACCAAGTAAAGGGAAAAAGACAGGCTATCTAAATAAAGTTGAGATATGCCATTTTCTATGTTATTTCTTCAAAAAGTATCTACCAGGTGCTAAAGTCACTTGTCAAGCTGTTGTCGATCTTCAAACAAATCTTGTTTATTCAGGTTTTTCAAGACTTCATTCTAATTGTGCAATTGTACAGGGTTGTTTCAGAGCGAAATGTGGTGGCATTTCCACCTGGGAAAATATCAGTGTGAAAATCTTACTTTCTTCATTTAACAGCTACTACATATGAGAAGAGAGAAATAAGATTAATAGTAGACTGACAAAATGTAAACATTTCACTCATGATTTAAATAAATTTACTGTGTATTGATTGTTTTCCATGTACTGTGGATAAGAATGGAGTGGCTGCTTAAAGGATTTGTAAAAAATATTTTAAAACTACATGTTGCATTAAGATTTAATAAAACTAAATAATTTTTGTACACATGTTGAATTTTAAAAACTAAATTATATTAAAATATTGATAAGCTAAACCCTTAATGATGCTTCTAG